TAATTGTAAACAATTATAATTAGGAACTTAAATATAACTGTAGCTTTTTAAGAATACAATCACCCATAGCAAACATAGCAATACATGCAAGACTCAAATCCCCCTTCCAGGTAGTCCTATTTGGCCAGATGTGCCATAACTCCAGTATTTATATATTATTATATATTTAATATTTTGAAAATATGTGTTGTTTAAAAGAATTGGGGCTAAATAAATATTCCACTATGGTACAGTAGCACACATTGCAGGTTCCTGCTTTTGAATGATGCAGTGAATGACAGTCAGAGTCAAATTTATTTATTTATGTATTTACACAGGAGTGTGTGTCTGCTCTCCATCAGCCTGGTTTTGCACAGTGAGACAAAGCCAACACACCATAACCAGCATGTCTGAATGAGTGAGTGACTGAGTGAGTGACTGAGTGAGTGACTGAGTGAGTGACTGAGTGAGTGACTGAGTGAGTGACTGTGCAATTCACTTCAATTCAGCTCAGAAAAATTCTGATAAATTCAACTGAATTTTATTTATATAGCAGCAAATCACAACAACAGTCATCAAGATGCTTTATATCATAAGGTAAAGGTCCTACAATACCATCCATCCATCCATTTTCTTCTGGTTATCCAGTGCCAGGTTTGGGGCAGCAGCCTAAGCAGAGAAGCGCAGACCTCCCTTTCCCAAGCCACCTCCTTCAGCCTTCTTAATGAGACTTCTGAAATGGCAATACAATGCTGGCTGTCCAAGCTCTTTAACCATGCAAGAGACCAAAAAAAGAAAGACCGGATGGTCCACTGTGAACACTGGTGGGACTTTTATGAGTGTGTGAGGATTTTGTTTCCACTGTTGTCATACAAATATAAAGCCCATCATTTGATTTGAAAAACAAATGTAGTCTATTACAGTTGCATACATCCACACCGTATATAACTGCCATCATGCACAGTTATAATGTCCTTCAGTTGCATCATTTACACACACAGACACAGAGCCCCTTCCCTAGGAAGATTAGATTATTTTAGCCTATTATGGTCTGTATTCTTAATAACTTGTACTTCCTGTTCCCACGGTTGGAGTCACACTATGACCCGTGATCAGTGGGCCCCTGGGTTTCTCCCACAACATTGTCTTTGAGGTTAGACCCACATAAACAAAGCAAGTCAAAATCAACAAATGAACAAAAGCAGTTTTTAAAATCAAAACATCAAGGCAAACCTCTTAAGTTGCATCATATTCATTGAGATATTTCATTCAAGAATACTGTGACTGCTCAAGTTCCCACCCAGCCCTCAAACACGGTTATTTAGACTAGCATGACTGTAGACAAAAAGAGTTGTTAACCACAGGGCATAGCAAGTGACAGGAAAGATTTGCAAAGAGCTCGGTGTGGTTTGCAGATGTTATATTTAGATCATCTGATGAGAAACTTTGTTTTGTTGTATTTTTAGTGTTAATAAACCTAAGATCAATTTTCACAACTTCTCATAACTACCAGGCAAGTATAGTGTTTTTAAAAAAAAAAGTTATTTAAAGAAACCCTAAAAAAGAGCAACAAGATCTACTCAAAGCCGTCTTTGTATATGAAAGCACTGAAAATGACTCAGTTATGGGAGGGACAGTATTTTTCTTCTCTGCAAACGTCACCTAGATTTTCCTACATGGGCAAACACTATGTTCTTCAATGCACATGATTTAGACTGACTTATTTTTCCAATAATAAACTATATCAGTGAGGAATGTGGGGTTGTTTCCTCTGGGCCCTCGCTGCTCCACTTAAGAATCTGACGGGTTGAACAGTGGGGGATTATAGGGTGAATCATGAATGGTCCTTTCTTATCCATGTATGTGACTGATCCAGACTTGTGACCCGCACTATTGCATGCCTATAAAAATGGTCATGCTCATCCTTTCTTGTGTGGGACTTTGAGTTTGACTTGCAACAGTGACTCCTAAGGCAAATACATGTTCCCATAAAAAAACACGACTTATGGCATGACTTAATGGATGGCAGATCTGTTGGTAAAGCCAGACTGAAATATTGCAGAATCCTTTGGATAAATCCGCTGTGCCCATATAAATGAAGAAAGTCCAATTAAAAAACCCTGAAATATCTCATATCCTTTTTGTGCTTCCTGCTAAAGATCAGTTAAAAACAAATGATCTGTCCTGGTATTGTCATAGATTTGTGTCATAATATTGTCTCTATTTATGTAGTTGAATGCTAAACTGGCTTTGTGATTTATGACCAAATATCTACACAATGATACAAAAAAGAATCATCCAATTTCAGAGTGCTTAGAGGGAGACCTAAAAAGAAACAAAAATGTCTGCAGCAGATGAACAGCATCTAAAAGTCACTGGAAAAACTCCAGCAAAGACCAGACATGGGACATGAGAGATACATCTGGCCCTTCAGCTGATTCATCTACTGTTTGCCAAAACTTCATCAGAAATGGTCTCAGTGGAAGGTTGGATGTCAGGAAGCCATTCTTAAGGAAGACAAACAGGGAGAAAAGACTGGGGTATGCTAAACCACATAAGAACTGGACTGAAAATCAGTGGGTCTTATCGAGTGATTAATCAATTTTTGTTTTTTCAAATTCTCGTCAATATATATGTAGCTGGTCAGGAGAGACTGTCAGGAGAGACTGTCAGCTGTGGGTGCCTGGGTGTAAAACAGTGGAGGCTCTGTCATGTACTGGGGCTGTATTTCAGCAAATGAAGCTACAGTTCTTGATGGAATTGTGAATACAGTAAAGCACTGTCAGATTTTGATCCACCTGCAATATTATCTAGAAAGCTTCTGATTGGCAATGGCTTCATTTGTTCAGCACAATAATGATCCCAAACACACTGCCAATGCAGTAAAAGCATATCTGGATAGAAGGACATTATCAGGCCTGACTAGAGCCCAAAATTTATTGAAGAAGTACAGGGTTAATCTTGATAGGGAAGAGAACAAACAGCAGCCAAAAGCCAATGAAGAGCTTTGAATGTCTTTCACAGAAGCCTGTAGAATTACTCCTGAAGACTTCTCAAAGAAATTAGAAGAAAGCCTGCCTAAAAAAACTGTGTTTGAAGAATAAAGGTCGCCATACCAAATATTGGCTTTCAAGCGTGTTAGAAATGTAGAAAACACAGTTTTTATATACTGTATTTTCATGTATGTTTTGCAAAGTACATCATTTAAATCTGCCTACTTGAATTTTGTGTTCAGTGTTAAATATTAATTGGTGGCATGCTGGCAAGCTTTGTCTACATGAATGGAGAACATTCCTAACAGTTTCCTAGCTGAAGGTCAGCATACATATTGTTACGTCATGGTTGGTATGTTCACATTCTTGTATTTAGTCCCTCCCTGAACTTCCACAGTAGTTGTAGATCTGTACTCACATCAAAGCTACATTTTGCTTTAACCTCCCACATTTAGTGCTTCGCTGCTCTTCCAGTTCACACACAACTGCACACACAGAAACATTGCTGATGGGCACCTTCTCTTGCACATGTTGTTGCCTAAATATGTGTTTTCACAGTATCACTGGTGTATCAGATTGTGACGTACACCAGTTGCCCTGAGGACGGGCAAGATGGTGTGATTGGCAGGGGAAGGCATAGCCTTTTAAATTATAGAGCAGCATTGGACGTCCGCAGGAGATAATGAGTGGATAGCCTGAGTCATGCTCTGTGTCGGGCTCCGCACTTCAAACACCAACCGTATCCACATGGAAGCTTCTGTAACCGAAAAAAAATCTGCATTTCATTACATGGCACTTGGTGTAAGAGTGCAGAGTGCATCATGTGACATGCAACAGCAGAGTCTTGTTGTACTTGGATGGCTTGCCCTTGAGTTCGACCATCTGTGTCCCCGGAGAGGCAACATTTATGGTAGTGCACAGTTTCCCAGTGCAGCCCCTAAGAAAAGACTCATCCAAAGCTTCAACTCACATCTGGATGACCCAGAGGTTAGAGGCTGGGGTTAGAGAGATAGTTGGAGGGGGCTTCATTCCAGTTTTCTCTTGTGCTTGGACTGTCCCTGTTGGTATGCAGCTGATCCAACTGAAACAAAAAAAAAAACCCAACACAAAAAACACTCATTATAAATCTGATCATAGCTGAACTTTTAGTGAAATTAGGAGATTACTTACATTTTGAGGTTTTCAACTGGTCCGGGCTTTCCAAATGAAATATTCAGCTTGTGCTATGATCCTAATTTCACTATGGGTTTAAAAACAAATTATGTCAGTTGGTCTTTGTGATATGAAGAGCAGTCATTGCCAGCTTTGCCCTTTCTTTCTGCAAAGTGCTTCACAGAGAAATTACTATATTAGGAAATGAATTGCTGGTATTTTGGTCCTAAATTTTTTTTTTTCTTCCCACTTAATCTCCTTGAAAAGAAAATTGTCAGGTTCGTAGCACTTTTAAAGCCGTCTCCATTATTATAAAGTATGTTTTAATGCTGAAATATGATTTACCATTTTAGTGTATTTTTAAATACCTCTCCCCAACCAGATTAACCATAAAGATATCTTGCCTTGTATTTTTTTCACGAGTGCCAGTATTTTTATCTAAGAATACTTGTAGTTACAAGATGACAAATTTGCTGCAGATATGACTGCCAAAACATTAGAGCAATCTCAGTTGGCTCGCAGCCCGAAGTCTTACGAAGCAGCCTGTCTGTTACTAATCAAAGCCAACTCCTCCTGCCCAGCTCGGTGAAATAGGGAGCTAAAGAAGAATGAAGAAAATGTCTCCTGAAAAGAGAAGCAATATTTCTGAAATAGCGAGTAGTGAGTGTACAGTAGAGGAGGGTGGAGTGTATGGTGTGCTTCGAGAGCTGTGAGACGGGGGATGGGGCTCCTGAGATGTGACTCAGACTCACTGTCAAAACCAGCGGGGAGGGGACCTGATGAGAAAAAAGGATAGAGCGGAGGAGAGAAGGGAGGGCCGGGAGAAAAGAAAACCCAGCCCCTCTTACACCACCGACTCTTGAGCGTTCAGCGTCAGCAAAAACCATAATGTGATCAAGATGGAAGTTGTCCATGGACTTTTCACTGCTTCCCGGCTTTCTGCCTTCCTCTGGGGGCTTCACTGCCTGTCCAACAGTTTTACTGCGAAGATACTGACTCGAGTCTAGAAAAAGGCTCGTAGAAGCTTAAAGTAAGGACTTCTTGCTTGGAAAGAGTGAAGTAAAATTTCCCAAAACGTGGACAGATTTCTTTTGATGGATGAATGAAAAGTCAGCTTGAGAAACATCTCTTGGCAAACTGCATTTCAGGAACTAATTGATCTGCAATCTTTGGTTTGGATTATATATTCCACTTCTGGATTTCCACAAAAGCTTTCAGATTATGTTGCTAAACAATGTGTCATCACTGGAGTATTTATGAGAAGTAAACATCAGTGTTCCTCCACTGTAGAATGTGGAGTTCGGCTGTCAGCTGTTCGTTGGAGTGCAAGTAAGAGGAGCGACTGCTTTTTGGATCTTTCCCTTATTTTACATATAACCAAATCAGGTACATGTTTGTGCCAAAGGGTGCAAATGGCAGTTAGAACCATCATCCTTATGACTTAAAATGAATATTTGGGAAAAGAAACTCTTCAAGCAGGTCTTCCATTTTTAAAATACTTTCAATACACTTAAAAAAAAATCAGATTCTTTGTCACAGACTACTTAAGGTGGCTACGCTATGTTGTTTTGAATTGTGTTATTTACATAGTACAGAATGGTTCTCTTTAATCAAAATATTTTATTTGTCTGTCTCGACACATAGCAGATTTACGGAGTAGTGTAAATCTTCCATGATTTACACTATGTTTCTTCACATCTATAAATTGAAATCAACCACAAAAGGAAGAAAAAACACAGAGCAGTGTAATGCAGTATATCTTACTTTGAATTCTGTGATAAGACTTGCACTTGGTTCTGTGATAGTGTTGGATTCTGTTCCAGTTTTACTTCAATCTACTTCAGTCTCTTATTTTTGTAGGTGAATGGGTGCAGAAAGACTGTTAATCAACACCCAGCACTTTTTCAGACTCTTTTTTTTTCACTGTTAAAATGGTGCAAATCTGACAAACTGCTTTGTTTACAGTTTCCTGTTTGTGATAAGATAAACAATCGGAGGGATGTCTACATTAATCTCAACGATTTAAACTTTCTCCGTCTTAAAAAATTAAACAATTGTTAGAGATCAGAGTAGTTTACTTGTAGTTGCCAAGCTGAAATATGGAAAAACTTCAAAAGAAATCGGTTTCCTGGGTTAAATTAATACACTTGGATTGCTTACTTGAAAGTTGAAGCATTATTTGTACGTTCAGCTCCTGCAAAGTGAAAACTTTGCAACACTGGCTATTTCTTATCTCCTTTTCTCCTCTTGTTGCACCAGATCTGGTCCTTCTATTTAACCTGGCATCAAAAGCAGCTTTATGGGATAGCATTGGCTGCCCATCATGCCAGTTGCCATACGTAAAAGAAGCTGGGAGGAGCATGTGACTCACCCGTCAGGATTACAGTACAGCTATGATGATCTGGATCTCGTCTGCTGTCATGGGGTCGAAGGCGATGGGCTATGGATGGCTTCTGGGGGTTCAAAACAAGGTAGGCGGGCAAGGTGTTCCTCTATGCCAGAGGGATGCCACCAGCTGCCTATAGATGACCCTGCTCAGACTTGTGAAGGGGGAGCTTCTGTGATGAATGATGATACTGAACCGGAACACTTAAAACTAATGGAAAACAATGGAAAGGATTTACAGGAGTCAGTGGATCGGTCTTATGAGTTGGTGGGAGCTGGCATACTCCCAAAGACTGACTCTGACTCAGAGGATCTCCAAACCGCAAGCCCTGGGAATTTTGGAGAGTTTTGTAATTCAAACAGTGGTATGTCTAGTGCAAATATTTCTTGTGCAACTGATAACAGTGATAAGACTATTGATAATAAAAGTGATTTGGGCACAGAAAGTTGCCAGAATCACAGCATGTGCGATGACAGGGTCTTTAAAAGTGCACATATCTCTCACCAACAATACGTCTCTATCTCTTCGAACAATGTGCCTCCATTGTCTGAATGTGCTGGTGAGCAACCTGGCAAAGTTCCAAACCATCAGGATACAAAGGGGAGCCATAGAGAGGGTTACAGCAGACCTCCTGAAATCACTGGGGCCACAGTAAACTGTTGCTCTGCTGGCGAACAGGAACCTCAAACCGACCTCCCAGATGTTGAGGAAAGCAAGACTGTCATCTCTGACCAGCCTGGTATGAATGCTCTGCTAAGCTCAACAAATATGGAGGGTGGTGAAGCACTGGCGCTAATCAACAAAACTGTGGAATCATTAGTAGCAGATGGAGAATGTGACAAAGGAATATCTGAGAGCCGGAGTGCATGTTCTGCTGACAAGCAAGATGGATTGAGTGACCTAGGAACTCTAAATGAAAATACAGGACTGAGCTGTCTCTCAAGAGTCACTATAGGAGAAGAGCGGGACCATGAAGACTGTGCTGGACCGTTGGATAAGGATCATGGTTGGGAAATATCCAACCAGACATTGTTGGAGCAGCACAATGTTGAAATGTTAGCGGAGAGCAGGCCCCAGAGAGACAAAAGTGCACAAGCAGAAAGCAGCGAGAAAAAAGGACACGTCAGACCTATTGAATCATCTGATGTTAGTGTCATAAATCAGTGCTGCTCTTTAATGGCAGACAGCAACGTGTCATCTAAACAAATGAATTCTGGACATGCAGGAGATGCCATTGGGACAAACACGACACAGTGTGCAGATAAGGATGTGAAAGGTTCTGTAAGTCAGTCACTGGGAAATACTGACCAAAGTTTAGTGCCTGTTAGTGAGGATCTCGCCATTCCTCATCAGACAGAATATAGTTGTTCAAAACTGGACACTATACCAGAGATCAGCCCTGTGGAGGCAAAAGACAGCTCTCTACTTCATGCTCAAAAGAATAATGATGTTAACAGTACCCCAAATCCAGCTGCTGAGCACTGCTGTTTGGATGATAAACACGAGGTTGTTGAACAACACACGCAAAACCTGCCACCATGCTCTACAGAGGTCAACGAGGGACTCCATGGTAACCGAGCCTCAGGTCCTCACTTCAGTGAGTCACCTGCCTCTGAGGTGGCAGATGGTCACAGAGAACACCACCAGCCAGGAGCCACAATGGAGGCGTCAAGGGAAGACATACGTTCAGTTATATACAACGATACACAAGACGGCAGTTCGGCTTTAGATGGAACATATGAGCATGCAGATCAGAAGGAAGACAACGTGTTCAAAGTGCGGCTGAGAAAGGTAAGAATAAATATGATACAGAAGTGTAATGGATGTACAATTACTACATGTACTACATGTATACTAGTTTAGATCAGTTTTGCAAGTTCTGTCTTTGTAATTCTGCGACCTGAATGCTTCTAATGAACAGACACTTACTGGGCACACATAATTTTGGTCCCACACTCTGGCAAGTGTCTCGGAAAACACTGACTTCACTCTCACATGCTTACAGATCTGTGAGGGGGCTGTGTGGAAGGGGGGTCTGTGAAATGTTGTACTTTTTCTCAACCGCTCATTGCAAAACAAGGTCCTATAAGGGCATGGAGACCATAAACGCAGAGGGGTTGGAAGCTCAAAGTAATCTCTAGGGTGAAATGCTTAAACTGTTTTCTCTAGCAAATACTGTATCTTGTGCTGTTTTCACACTGTTAGCAGCATGCTTATGTGGTGCAAAAATATACCAAAAATCTTAGAAGCAGTTCGTGGATTTGGGATCAGTGAAGCAAAGCAACTATCAGACAATTGAAACTGTATTCGCTAATAAGTTGCTGTAGTTTCAGTCCTTTTAAAATAACAGTAAGAAGCCCATTAATTTCAACTCAGGGCCCATTAAGAAGGCATGTTGTTTGGACAAGAAACGTATTGTGAGAAGTTAAATTCTTGTGTGACATTCAAGATCAAATTGATCACACTCTTGTAAACAGTGACACATCTGAGTTTGTTTTATTATAAAAACTCGTGGAACGTTTCATATTCATATTAATTCACCTATTTTGCATTAATCAGAAGTATAGATATTTATAGTAACACCATTTATAAGAATGCCAAGGTAACTGCAAAGAGCCACACAGATATTTCCTGATAGAGACTCACTGATATAGGATTTTTAAGGCTCATACCAGTGTTTGGTGATTTAAATATCTGATATGCCAATTGATATTTATTCGTTGAGAGATACAAAGCATAAATAGATTTCCCTAACACTTGTTGTGTGTAGTTATTGATGGGTCCCTACTAAGATAATATGACATTTTTTCCGTCACAAGTTGCGGATTATTCGTTCACTCTTGACTCTGCTCTAATCCACTGGCTCTTGTGTTTGTGATGTCCCCAGATACATGTTGCCATAAGTGAAGTTAAGAGTGGTGGGCAAAGTTTGCTGCATTATTACCCATAACATGGTTAAAGAGTATTTCTCCTGAATCTTCTTTACTTTTTACATGTATCGCCTGTTATAAATGTTGAAATGGATGTATCGGGAAATAGCCAATATCAGCTGGTATTGGCATGGCTGATATATCGGTTGGGTTCTATTTTTGAATATACCGTATTGTTAGCAATTATAATTTCTCATGTGATGACATAAGTTATGTTATTACAACTCATTCATTATTTGTTGAAACAAAAGGAGTCCATGTGCAACTGTGTAGTGTGTGGTTAACTATAGCTTGTTGGCTATAGTTTACATAATGTGAAAATAGTGCTGATTATTGTGCTATTGTTTGGTCATATTCAGTTGTTTTGTATATAAATCGATTGATGTGTGCTGCCATGACCCTAATAATATACCACAACCCCTTCCTAATAGTAGAATAAAATGCAGGCATACAATAAAAAAAATATTTGGCTTGTAGTCTAGAATAGAAACCATAAAATCAGCTGGTGCTGAGTGGTTTATGTGTCATATATTGACACTCTGGTTATAGCTGTGTTCCTGAAAAGCCTATGGGTTGTGTAATCCTAAAGATTATCATAGCATTATTTCCACATAAATTTTTTAGAAACTTTGGAGCCACTTTTAGCCATGACTAATGTTGAAGTCAGTCCACCAACTGCCAAAAACAATAGGTCATACTCCAACAGGGAGACATGGAAAACCAGTGCCACATTTTCCCCTGGCTCTAATTTCAAACTTAGGATGACTTTAAATACCCCACCAAAAAGGCAGGATTTTGGAACTTGAAAAGAGCAGTTAAGCCAGTGGAAGAAGCCAACAATTCATCTACCATATGGTGATGGCTTGCCTCATCTTTGACAGCAACGTGATTTGTGTGTCCAGTTTAGCGCAGGAATTGTGCCGTATAGAAGACCATGCTGATAAAATATAAATTAAAAATGTAAAGCTTTATCCCACGGGACATAAAAAATGGAGAAGAGTGTTTTCAATATCACGAAGAGAATTACTGAGCTTATGTTAGTTTCTTTAGTGGATAATGACAGAAGCAGCCTGGAATGATCTCTGACAAGATATTGTACTGACTAATGATTGCATCCCCCAGTAGACCAAGTTTTTGTTACAGATTCAGCTTGTAAAACAAACCCATCTGGTTTGCATAACAGCTTGAGATTAAGCTGATATTGGGCTTTGTTACTGTGTTTATTTGTTTTAGCAACAAGGCCTTATCCTGACCCCAAGGCCAAACTGGCTCAACAGTCAGCAGACAACTTGGCAGCATCACCCTCAGTGCTCTCTCTTTTCCTTTTTGGCCTCTTTGTCTGTATTAATTAAGAGAGCCCACTCAATGCAGAGGTCTGAGAAATGGGATGCAGACTGGCTGTAAGACAGGCGACTGAGGGGTCTTGAAAAAAGAACAAGTTAAGGGGAAGGAGGGATCTAAGAGTTCAAACAGTGTGGGAAACATCTCCCATCTCAAAAAAACAGGAAGTTAAGTGGAATGTGACAGAAACCTCAAAAATGGGAAAGACAGCAAAAAAGCCTTCTGAGAACACCCAAACCACCAGAATGCCCCTAAAAACGTTGCCTCCGAGGCAACTGAAGTTTACGCTTGCACTTGTTTTTCACTCTGCCGTTTTGTGGTTGTTTTTGCCATCCCGAGCCAGATGCTTTTGTTCATTCAGCGAGGCCTCGTAAATATGTCATTGTTTTACAACGGTACAATGTTTCATTGTGATACTTTGCCAAGAAGATGGGACCGTAGCGCTGCGCGCTGCGCTCTGCCACGAGCTAGAAATGTCAGTGAATGCATCAGTGTGAAGCGCATTTCCCCGACACACATGGCATGTCTATTTGCGCTCTCAGCAAACCGATAGGATCTGACTTTGACAGCCAAATTGGGCACTAACTGGAAAATAAATGTAGAAGCAGTCATAAGACATTATTAGGGTTGGAGCTGGAAGCCAGATGCAGGGATGAGGCTACCTTTAGTATCCTGACTCTATTAGCACATTTATGATTAAGCCATGCTGACCATTTCAGCATTTATGATCTGTAAAAAGTGCATAACCCAAAGATTCCTCTTCAAGGTACTGCATGTAGAGACAAACCAGGCATGAAAGCCAGCCTCACATCCACTAGTTTTTGTAGCTTTGCGTAAGCATACAGTCACAGTGGCTGTGTGTGTGCCATGAGCTCACTCTCATTAAGAGTTTAACAGCATCTGTTAGCGGGGATTGTAACAAGGTTTGTTTGCGGGTAATGGGCCAGCCATGAAATTTCCTCGGGTTCTTCTCAAGGGTAAAGCTCAGACAGGGAGCCACACCCGGTGCCAAGATAAGACAGACAGAGGGAAATGAAAACATACTGCTTTAAGCAGCGAAGAAAAGGATATTACACGTTTTACTCCTGCTCAAATTGCATGAAAACAACATAGAGCTTAAGGTTAGCAGAGGACAGAGTGGTAGGTGGAGTGTGATGCAATGCTGGATTGTAGCATGTGGGTCTGCTTGTCTTGCACAAGTCAAACCACCTGAGGTCAGTATGAGACTTGTTATCACAGCCCTAAGATGGATAAATTAGCACAGCATATTAAAGGGCAAATAAGTGGAGTGTTAAAGTAATGACAGAGGCGAAACAAAAGAGATAGCCATTAAATGGCCACAATGTGTAAATCAGCTATTTTAATTGGCTGAAGTGGAAGGTTGCTGGGGAACACAGAGGGACAAAGAACAAAGGAACAATTAGATGTATTTTGTACTTTAAATCATGCTTAAAAGTTATAAGCCTTTTAAAACAAAGTTTTAGATCAAAGTTTCTGATCTTACTGTATAGTACTGACTTTTGGCTTTTCCGGTCACATTTCTAATTACGTTTCGCATATATATTTCATGTTTCTGTTCTCTTCCTGATCATCTGGTCAGAGATCACAGATGACACTAGAGAAAAAAGTTTCCTTAGAGAAGTGGAACAAATTGATTTCGGCACATTTAATGCTGGTCTTAATAGTTTTGTGAGTTTGACTGTTCTCCACTGATCTGTCTCAGCGTGGGCATGCTCGCTTGGACTCAATGGTGCTGCTGCTGATGAAGTTGGACCAGCTAGATCAGGAAATTGAGAATGCCCTCAGTGCTACTTCCTCCATGGACAGCACAGCCACCTTCCATCGACGGCATCACCCGGTACCCGCACAACTGAGTTATCTAGCTGGATGTGACAGCAGTTTTTTCTATATTTGAAACTGTGCAGCAGTTCGGCGTTCTCAGTGAACTATATTGTTTGTTTTTTTTACTTGTGCAGGAGTTTGATTTAGGATCCTCTTCAGCAACGTCACAACCACCCACGCATCCACATGCTGCTGTTGTTGCTGCTGCTGCTGCTTTGTCTTCAGGATCTCCACAAGCCCTTGGAGCAAAGCCTAAGAGTGGGGTAAGTCAGCACCCGAATGTATATAGAAATCAAAACAAGGTTCCAGATTCCAACTGACTGATCACATTTTCTGGCAAAATGTCACTGACATGACTAAAACACGTGGGCAGTTAAAATATGAAAATATTTTTGAAAAGGACTAAAAAGCCAGAAAATAGAATAGACAAAAATAGCAAAAAATAAACTGACATTAACATTTAAACTTAAAAAGCAGTGACAATAAAACACCTAATTTTTCAAGGTGAAAGATCAAATAAATGTTAATGAAATATAAAGAATATCCTGCATATAAAAAGGTACATTTCTAACATAAAATCGTTTTTTTCTTTCACAGTATGCCCAAAAAAAAAAAAACTGTAACAGGAAATAGTCTTCGCGTTTAGCTTAAGTGTTCGAACTAATCACTTTACAATGTGAGTCACCCGTTCACATGCCAGTTGTAATGGAGCTGCCACAGAAGGCGCCCGCCTGATCTCGATCAGCTTACAGTCTGGTGATCTGCTCGATGATACTTGGGCAATAAGTCGATAACCTGCTTGTGCCTCTATAGCCACAACAGCACACTACAAATCAGGCACTGCTCTTAACTTCCGAAACACTGGCTAAACTGGGCCCCTGATGCCAGATTTTAGTCCTGAGGCCTATTTCGCAAGACATGAGCTGACACGGGTGTTTCATTGTAAAATGTCAAGGACACAAATATGCCTATCATATGACTAAAGTGGTATAGTGGTTAAGTTACTCAGTGGTGCTAGAATAGATGAGACAGCTACTAAGAATCCCAATCTCAGGCATGTAATTCAAGACATAAAGACCTGATGCAGTTAACATCCTCTGCAGGTGTGAAACAGAATGGCATGGTGGAGAAATACCCAATGCAAGTATTTGGCAAAGAGGAAGGGTCTTGGGTTATCTTTTTGCTTGGGTGTGAAGACTTTTTATTGCTTCCATTGAGATGTATGATGAGATAATGGTCTGATAGTGGGCAGGAAGCTTTGGAAAGAGAGGAGGGGAGGACACACAGTAAATGTCCCCGAGCATATTTGAACCTGGACCTCTGGAATAGCCTAACAGTATATTGGTCACCTGCTTCATCCGGTGAACACCCGTGAAGGCTCTAGGTTTTAACATTTAGCAAAAAAAAGTAAAGGTTGCCAAACTGAGTGCACTTACTGTCTTTCCAATCAAGTGGCTGGAGATTGGTTGCAACTCTATAGATAAAACATGGTAAATGGCCTGTATTTGTATAGTGCTTTACTAGTCCCTAAGGACCCCAAAGCGCTTTACACAACCAGTCATCCACCCATTCACACACACATTCACTGACCTGATCTTTGAGAATCACTGAGTTGGACACTCAGTTAGGCTCCCAGTTCACACACGCACACCAAGTGTACAACTTTTTCCTCTGACTCTGTACATGGCATTTAATATTTATAGGCCGTGCAACAAAACCCTAGTTTGCATTAGTCTGGGTAAGACTTGCACAGAAACTAGACCTGTGTCACAATCTGTCTCCATTCAGAGGTCCACTTCTATCATATCATACTAGAAAAATACATTCAATATTTTTTGATGAACAGCAGCAAAAAAAGAGACATGTTTTCCTATTCTGGGGCTTTCACTGGTTTTCCTTTACTTTACTGCCACCAGAATGATGTAACTATGACCTCCACTCCAAATTGGTCCATAATCTTACTGAGTAAACAGATTTAGGTCCCCACAACACTAGTAATATCTGGACCACACAGACACACATACTCAATCGTCCAATTGTAGGAATGTCCCTCAGCTCTCAGGGCTTAGCAAAGCAGACGTTAAAACTCTCTAATTAGCTGGTTCCAAAGATCTAGATCCCTTCACCCGATCAAAAGGGTCAGAAGGGGGGGTCTGGGAGGTGAAAAGCCAGGGCAAGAGGGAGCAGTGGGGGACACGCTTCGAGTGAGACGTGTGTCTAAAACCCTTGCATGCTCACTTAATGATTTTGTCAGCCTTGCATAGCCATTGCCTACATTCAAGCAAGCCTTTCTATGTCAAAACTGGTTAAAATGACATAGAGTATAACTTTGTAACCTTACAGAAGTGTCTGAGTTACTTTAAAATATATATATATTAATTTCACGATTTATCTGTTGCAATGCCACAGTTGACATTGCTGTGTGCTGTTTATCTTCCCTGCCGTCAAAAAACATAAGAACAGTTCTTGGTTCATTTAAAGGGTACATATCAACATCCTCAGTGATGTGTGATTTATTATGTCTGTAGCCAGCAGTTTCCACAACCTCCATTCCTACAGTAACCCAAGGTAACTCACTAGGCTTGGGTAAACACAGCTTTCACTGTGCCTAATAGAAGGCCTTTTACAGTGGTGGCCCTGTGGAGTGATTGATTGAGGCCAAAGAGATGAAGACTTGGTGAAGGGGATCTCAGTAGTTCATAGTTGCAGGGGTCCTTTCAGACATAAAATGTTGTGACACCCACTTAATCTTTTTACCTACACAATACAAATCCACTGGCCTTTCCTAAAAGAAAACAGGAAAGGCAATCTGGCAACCTATTGGCTATTTCTGGTGGGTTCAGCCTCTGGAGAGGACAGGGGTTCTGATATAGCCAGCAGATATCTGTGCCAAGACTGTTTGATTATTTTTATTTATTTTAAATGCTTCAGTTCAGCTTAGACTCCTTTTTTTAACACTGACAGGTTGTTGGTATTTGTCAGGTCTGTAGACTTTATCAAAGATGAACAAAGCTTCTGGGTGGAAAAATGAAGCCAGTGAAGAAGGGTTAAACCTGCATTCTATCTCAGGGCCACCAGATGGTGATGGCTGTGGCTGCAAAAAGACTTCAAGTATTAAAGAAGTGTATAGATAAACAGATTTCTGATTTGACCTTTGGGAACACTTTCCTGTTGGGTTTATGGCCTTAGACACATTTTGAGTCATAGTAGATAAAAAATAAAGCCTGTTTTGTAAATCTTGGTTACGATATTTTTTAAAACGAAGGATTATAAGTGCTTACTCTTTGGCTAACAACTTTGGCTAACATTTTATTTTTATTTTATTTAGTAAAAACTGGTTTTAACTGTGGGGCAGCATGGAGGCACGGTAGTTAGCAATGTCACCTCACTGCAAGTTTGAATCCACCACCTGGCCGGGGCCTCTCTGTGTGGAGTTTGCATGTTCTCCTCATGTTTTCGTGGGTTCTTTCTGAGTACTTTGGCTTCCTCCCACAGTCCAAAGACATGAAGTTAATATGGGTAGGTAAATTTATGATTCTAAATTGCCCATAGATGTGAATGTGAGCGCGAATGGTTGCCTGTCTCTCTGTGTTAGACTTGCAATATTCTGGCGACCCGTCCAGGGTGGGCCCATTGTAGCTAGCATAGTGCTCCAGCCTCTCGATGCCCCTAATAAGGATAAGTGGAAGAGAATGGATGGATGGATAGTTTTAATTGTTATTTTATCTTTAGTTACGTATAATAACTTTGGTTAACTGGTAGTTTTGAGATTGCACTTGAGATGTTACTTTTCCACTCCTTACCAGGACATGCAACCAGTGTTTGCTCTAATATAAATTCAGACTGCAAAACAACCTTCTACTATCAACAGTCTTGTCACTTACCTGTAGACATGAACACACATGCAACTCTAAATAGAGATTACAGGAAAGGCAGTACGAGGCAACTGTCTAAGATTTATTTTTCTTTTGTGTGGGTGTAATCTCAGGTTATAATAGGAAATAGCTTAATCCTAATTCCTAGTATTAACTTTTATTCTGTACTAATGACAGCTTTTATAGATTGTACATGTGTTGACTGAATTGCCAGAAGTACAAATGCATCATCACAAAAGGCATCTAAATCGTAATCAGGTTTAATTACCACCCCTCTGACACACTGTCGCCAATATCTAAGCATTACAATAGAATAATAGGATTTATTGAAAAGCCTCTGAATTATATACAGTTAGGAGGTACCTGTACTTTAGTTGCCCCATACACAGTAAATTGACATATCCAAACAATCAGGTCATACCCATAAAACAAGCCTTGTATTGTCTCACTACAAAAATGTTGAAACAACCAAAATCTCAGATAGGCCTGCTGTAAAATTAAAAGGGAAAAAATAACCCTATTAGGAAATCTCTCGCCCTTTTCTGCATCGCTTTTTCACCAACATTTGTACATGTTGCCGTGAGCATCTCTTGACATCAGTCAGGAAGGTATTTGCAAGTTTACACAGGACAGAGCAAACAACATATCTCTTTAGCAAACCGGGGGGTGAGCGCAGCCTGACTGAAGGTAAAACGCTACCATGCACGCTTTTGTAATTTACGAGAGAGAGGAGCCAAGCTGAAGCAATTAGAGCACAGTCTGGACTGTCTGAGAAAGTAAAATATGGGCATAGTATGATTTGAAATAACTGTTTAACTGCAGTTCTAATTCTTTCTGAATTCTCTGTGATTCCCACATGTACATCAAAGCATCAGGAAAGCTGTGGTGAAAAAGAGTGACACTCTCATCGCTGACATGCATGCGTTTCTGCGTGTGTATGTTTGTGCAGGATGTGCTAAAAGTAAAGTGTTTATCATTTTTGCATTAACATTCCTTCCATTTCTTCAGCTGGATTATGCAAGATGTGTCTGGTGTTTGTGCTGACACTATCCCCATGACACCTCCATAAACACAGTGCAACACTCGGGTGTAAACACACCGCATCTACTGAAGCACTGTCTCATGCTGTCCCGACCTTTACGTAACCACGCTAAAGGTGATATGGGGTTGTATCTGTTTGTGATGAGTGGACATTCACTTGGCATGCGCAGTATCATTCCTTTGCTGCTGTGGATAAGGTATTGGGTTCATGTGAATGCATTCTTGGCTCCTTGCAAGTTTAGACGGTGGGTATTGTTAGCCTCCAGCAGGTGGCTGTTATTCTTGCATAGAATGTGAGCCGAACACTTAGCGGATGTTGTGCTGCAGCAGGTGTTTGTTCTTATGCT